AGCTGGCGTTCCTTCTTCCAGAAGAGAAGAGCAAATGCACGTCCTTGGCATGAGGATCTCGTGGCTGCTGGTTAGATTCGGTTTTGCACGCGTTTTGAAAGCAAGTTAGGATCTGGCTGTATTGCCTTTTTTTGTATATTTGAATGGTAAATGTAGTTCCAAGACAACCTTACCTTTTTTATGTGTGTGAGGGAGGTGTCCTTGTTTGGTTCTGTGTCCCGTGATCATAGGGCTGTCTTACTTCATCCAGTTTTCACATTACAGCACAACTGGAACAAAATATGATGGTAAGAAGACACTTAGCCTGGACATTTGCCAGGTTAAAGCACTGCTCCTTTCTGACAACTGTAACTTGGCTTTATCTTATTTTTTAATGTATTTTTTTTTCTGTTTTGTTTGAGTTAAAACCAGTCTCTCTGTATAAGGAAGAACTTCTTTCCTGTGAGGGTGCCAGAGCCCTGGCACAGGCTGTCCAGGGAGGCTGTGGAGTCTCCTTCTCTGGAGAGCTTCCAAACCCGCCTGGATGTCGCCCTGTGCCCCGTGCTCTGGGTGTCCCTCTCTAGAGGTCCCTTCCAACCTCAGCCATTCTGTGATTCTGTGTGATTCTTCATCTAAGTGGCATTTTTATGGGAAGGAAGGAAGGAAGGAAGGAAGGAAGGAAGGAAGGAAGGAAGGAAGGAAGGAAGGAAGGAAGGCGGGCGGGCAAAAGCTGTGGTATTACTGTACCCCAAGTAGAGTACAGAAATAATTTCAAAGTAGAATCACTTACTCTCTTGTCTCCAGAAAAGGAATTTCTTTGTCATATTAAAGCAGAGCTCTGTCCACCAATATTGCCAAGGGAAGGGCACAGATGGTGTCACCTGGCAGAGAACTTGGACATCACCACCATGGTCGCAGCCAGTGCTACTTACTCTAAAGCAAATTACCAGGGGTAGCTATGTAATTAATGGAGTTCATATTCTTAACAAAAAAAAAAAAAAAAAAAAAAAAAGAAAAAAAAGTAATACTTCTGAGCCAGCTGCTTTAACAAGCTGTGGTGTTTTTACTTACAAAGATTTTTTTTTTCTTTAATTTCCTAGTTCTTAGATTTATTGCATAGGATTTTTGACCAGTTCCTGATGGTTCCTTTGGACAGGCTGCTCAACTTTGCTGGTGGAGTAGATAGGATAAGGAACTGAATGCAATGAAAGCTGTGAAGAAATGTTCTTTATTCGGGTAGTTGGTGTGAATGGCTGCAAAGGAAAGCTTTGGAAGTGACAGGATCTCACAGTACCTGGGCATTCCCACACGTAACTGCAGCATTTACTTGAAACTCACGCCTCTCAGTGCCATCAGTCTTCTGACCACTATGGGTAAGAGCCTTTCCAAGCTAACCCACCTGAGTGCATACACACTAGGATAAATCACTAAAAGAATACAAACTTTTTTTTTTTTTCTGGAAGTTTAGGAAGCTCTGTGAGCAGCCTCATCCCTGCCTAGCTCTGCGTGCTCCCGGTGTGCCTTTCCACTATCCACTACCTGCCTAGCCTTGAAAGCACAGAACAGCGGGAGGGCAAGCACACTGATGTGACTGAGAAAAATCAGCGCTAGGAACAGGAGGAATTTGTATGAAATATCATGCTACACGGTACCAGTCTTTCTGTTCTGTGCTTTTTTTTTTTTTTTTCTGCCATTTTGTAAAATGTACTTTGGGACTATAATTCTCTGTGTGCATTTCCCCCAAATAACCATTATTGGTTGCTGTGATTGTTGGCTTTTCAATCGTATTATACCCGCTCCCAAGGAGAGCTTCTGAACTTTAAGATAGAGGGGTTACAATAACTTCAATGAAACTTTTCTTTTTTTCCCCCCAGTTAAAAATTACGGTGAATTGCAGAGTCAGGGTGCCTGGAATCCCCTAATAACCGTGTTTTCCAGGGTTGCAGTTTGACATTCCTCCTCTCCCATGACATGGACACAATGAGGCTCATTATGCCCAACGCCCTGCTGCTGGTTGCTAGAACTACCCTGAAGAAAAACAAGCTCTGTAAGGAGATTATGGCCCCGGTGTTTTAACAAGCTGGAGTGCTCACCGAGAATAAATCCTAATTGGACAACAGGTTCATTGCAAAAACTTTGATCCCTGAAAGCTGAAGGAATATACAAGGTCCTTGAAAGGGCTGGATTTGAAAGCCTAGCAGATGTGGCTACCAAACTGCCCAGGTGAAGTGTTGCTACCCATTTCCGTAATATTAGGATGAATGCAAAATACCTTAAGAGTAAAATACGTATAGAAGGCGTTCAAGTTTCTCCAGTGGTTAGTGCTGCCTTTCTTGAAACAAGTATTGCCTTCAAGATTATTCTCATCCAAACGCGACTTACCATAAGATCCTACGAGTCAGTGTGAACTTTGGCGTTGCCTTGAGCGATCATTCAGGAAGCAGAAGCTCCAAAGAAAACATTTCAAAGAGTTTATCTGGACAAACAATATGACTGTTCTGCAACTGTGGTGAAATGTACACTGAAATGTCCTCCCGTTAAAGCTGACCTTCCGGTGTTGGCTCAAAGTTTGCTCTCTCTAGTTGCAGTTAGTTCCTTGGATTTCTAAATGTCAGGTATGGGGGAAAGCCAGTGGTGCAGAGCCAGTTTGTTATCAGTTCTATGGCTTTTCTTCTAGTTTCTCCACTACTTTCCATGAAGTGTGTTAGTTATTAAGTCAAAACTTAATTTCCAGCCATTATCGTACTTCATTATTTTCTAAACGACCCTTGAGACTTCTGATGACCCCATTATGCTCCACATTATATCTCAGTTTAAACAGGGATATTGGTGATATCGGGAGGCAAAATAACAATCCAGTTGCCATGCCAAAGCTCCTTCCTTCATTTCCAGTTCCCTGTAGGGTCTTGCAGGCTCACTGACTTTTCATACTTGCAACACGTGCAAACTCTCAAGAGACAAAATAGTGAGACTGTATTTTAAGCTTATTGGTCCTAGCGACGTTTTCTATTGAACAGGGTTTATGCCACTAATTTCCCCTTATTCGGGCTGACTGTTTAAGGATGGGGTTACGCAGACATATCCTGGGGCTGCCTCGCACTCCGTGCCTACACGAGGCAGACCTTCCCTGGGCAACAGCAGGCCTGGCCTCCGCTCCTCAGCGACTTGCCAAAATCCTCACTATTAACATAGTTTGGGGTCTACATTAGTAGTTTTGGGTCTATGTTAGCCTACTCCCTTTTCATTTATTTATTTTTATTTTTATTATTATTATTTTTTAACATGGGCTGTTGAAAATAGGTTTAAAGAAATCCTGGCAAAGTGATGCTGTGGCACTGTTTATATTGGAAAAAAAATAAAAGATTTGTGTTGAGAAGGACAAGTGAACAGTTTGCTGTTGCCTTGTTATTTTTGAGGCAGAACTGAAATCACACTAGGATTACCTGAAAATGTGAAAGGTATAATGTGATCAAATGGCTTACAATTTGACAATGTATCACTCTTTGAAGGCAATAATGTTCATGTTAAGTTTGTGAGACATTATTCTGTCTATTACAGAGAAAAAAAAAAACAACAAAAAATGTGCTTGCTTGCCAGATAATTCTGCAACTCATTTCAAAGTTATGTTGTAAGTAAATCAAAATCAGATCTTGAAGAGTATAGAACAAAAGTTTTAAAACACTTTTCCTCATCCCCCGAAAGAGCTTGAGAATTACAGGAGATGTTTCATTTTGATTACATGGCATGTCTCTTCAAGACAGTTATTTCTTTAACCCGCAGCTGAATGGATTTTAAAACATTCTGCAGCTATTAGAAGTTATTTTGAACATTAGGCCGGGATTTCTCAATCTCAAAGTCTGTAAAGACGATCATGGTAGGAAGCATGGAGAGAGACTTCCAGTAACTCAAGAGTACCTGTATTTCTTCCGTGATTCAGTTATAAAATTGGAGTATTATTATGTGTATGTGCTGAGGTTCACACTGAATCCATTGGAGAAACAATGGAGAGACGAGTTATTTGTCATTAGATACATTTGTCATAACTGTATCTGAAAACACATCACAGCAAAGCAGTAAGAAATCTCCAGGGATTTCATTCAGCGCTGTGTCTTGGCTCTCCAATATCAGACTTTGCTCTTGGCTCTAGCAATCAAAATTATCCTAACTTGGCTCAGGCACTTTCTCAGATAGAAATATTGGACTTTTCACACAATTGTAAGGATTACTGAGATGGGGATTGTTTTTTTTTTCAGGAATAATCTCGGAGCTCTGAGAGCCTTGGCCGTGCCACCCTTGCTATGAAAGGGTTGCTCCTCCAGGTGAGGAGCAACTTCTTTACTGTGAGGGTGACAGAGCAGTGGAACAGGCTGCCCAGGGAGGTTGTGGAGTCTCCTTCTCTGGAGGTCTTCAAAACCCGCCTGGATGCCACCCTGTGCCACATGCT